GAACTCGGTGTGGGTGTGAGGCGCTGGTGATGGTTATTCTGTGGGATGTGATGGTTTCATAGATGGCAGGGCCTGAGCTGCACTCTCGTGGAGGGTGGAGGCCGCGCCCAATGACTGCAGTTGGCTGTGAGCCCTCATTCCCATCCCCATCCTCTCTTTTTAAAAACCATTTTTATTTCCTCACAGTAGTCCATGCGCATAATTTGGGAAGTCAGGTAGTACTGACACCTCTTCACCAAATGCAGTTGTTCGTTGCCTTACTCCCACCCTCGTCCGCTTCTGAGGCAACTCCTTTTAACTATTTCTTCTAGCAGTTTTGCGCTTACATTGCAGAGTAATGTGTCTATCTTTTGACTCTTCCATTTTATTATAGATACTTTCACCCATTTCCTACTTAGTAAATAAGAATTTAGTTCTCTTACATGGCCACCCTTTCCACTCTCCAGCCATCCTCCTACGTAGTTCTCCTAGGCATACTATTCACAGGGACCTGGCAGTGTTCTTTTGAATATGTTTTATGCATATATTAATATATAGGTAAGCATGCAGGAGACTAGCGCCTCCCCCCCCCCCAAAGACAGCCACAGCCTAATCCTCTGAACGTGTGGATATGTTCCCTTATATTTGCAGGTGTGATTAAATTAAAGATCTTGAGATGGGAGATTATCCTGGATTATCTGGGTGGACCCAATGCAGTCACAGGGACCCTTAGACGTGGAAGATAGGGGCAGGAGAGGCAGCGAAAGAGATGGAAGGGAAGCAGGGTCAGAGCAGTGCAGAGAAGGAAGATGGCCATCGTGGCTGTGAGGGTGGGAAGTGGCCATGAGCCAAGGAGTGTGAGTAGCCAACAGAAGCTGAAAGAATCAAGAAAGTGGATTTCCCCGAGTCTCCAGTGATGAGAAATATTTTGGACTTGTGGCTTCCAGAAGTGCACGATAACAGATTTGTGTTGTTTTAAGTCATTAATTTTGTGCTTCTTGGTAACAGCAGCAAATAGAAAATTAATATACTATGTAGTATCGCCTACATACAGACACACACATGTGCTATATTTGTATTTGTATAATACACACATGTACTGGACGTGTGTGTGTGTGTGTGTGTATAATATCAAGTACTAGATATTTCAGTACATGTCAAGCACTATATGTTTCAGTTCCATTCGTTGGTTACCCATTCTCTTGCTCTCTGCACGTTGTCACTGCTGTTTGGTGACTTCCTTTTGTGGTCATCTTGACCATTCCCTTTGCCCCTCCTTCTGGCTGGAGTTCCCATTTTCTGGATCCCGTGTCTTCCTCTTGCCTGGTTTGCTTCCCCATTTGGAGCACATCACCCAGGACAGACATCTGTCGTATCCAAACCCATCGTATCCAAACCCATTGTCGTATCTAAGCCCTGTGTCCAGGTAGCCACGCACGGACAGTGAGCGACACCTGTCGGGTTGAAAGAGGTTCGTTGGGAGGGTCCACGGTGCCTTCCCGCTGGGGCTGAAAAGAAGGTAAGGGTTTTGCTGCCGGGGTTCTAGGAGCCCAGTGGGGGAGCAGCCGGCAGGACCCAGCATCCCATTTCTAACCTTCCTCTCCTTGGTTTGGGTCCATTGCCTTTACTCTCACCTGGCTGGTCGACATTTTGTGCCAAGACCCTCTGTTTTGTGTTCTACAGGGAATAACCCTTCAGAGGTCTGGGGGAGGTGGGTCCAGGGGTTTTACTTCTTTTATTCCATCTTCTTTATTTTCTCACACACACACACACACACACACACACACACACACACACCCTCTTCACCCCCGGTCCCCGAGGTACCGGTGCTGTCACATCAGGTGTCTTTCACGGACTCGGGTATAAGTCAGTTTGCGTGGGCTGCCTGAAATTTGGCCGCCCCACGTCTGCTTTCCAGGCTCCGGAGTTCCGTTGGTGGTGTCTCCCCTCTGTTCCGCCCACGCTGTGACTTTACCTCTTATTAAAAACCCTTTCCGCTACGTTGGATCTAGAAGGTCGCAAAATTGGGTGTGGTAGAGTCAAATCCCACTTCTTTTTCCACAGGAGTCTTAGGGTTGAACCAGTGATGAGAGTGCTACCAAGATGTATTCATGATAGGATTCCTTAAAAAATTGTCTTTATGTTGTTGTCATAAGCATCATTCATGGCCACCCTGCTCATGAGAGGCATGAGCGAGGAGATAAAAGCGGCATCTCATGGTGGTAGGGTCTTGGCAAGGATGTTGTCTTGGTGGCGTTGTTGTGGTGCAGCCTTGGGCGTGGGTGTGGAGGAGGCCTCGGCGCCAGGAGCGGCAGGGCGGTGCCTGGCGAAGAGCCGTCATGGTGGACACAGGCCGCCCTGTTGGGACCGTGGGACCAGGAGCAGGTCCCTCCCCTTGGTGAGAGAAAAGGGGGAGCTCTTAAGGCCACGCGGGAAGGACTGTGTCCAGGCGGGGACCCAGGCCACCCCAGCGGGTGGCCCTGAAGAGGGGGCAGTGCTTGCTGCCTGGCCACATGCTGGACGCTTCTAGATGGTGCTGGGTGATTATGCAGGACACGGACTGATAGGTCTGCCCCATTGAGTAGCACAGAGGAACCTAAAGATTGGCCCGTGTCCGTTGCATTCGCGTCGAGGACAGTGTATGCAGCTCAGATGGGAGGCCTGGGGGTGTGGAGGGCGGGGAGGAGGAAAGAGCATTCCTTTCCTTCCCAGTGTTCCCCATGGTCGGGTCCACACCTGGCCATGCCCTGCTTTTCCCTCCGTCCTTCCTCTTCTCACAGGCAGCCAGGGGTCCACTGCAGGTACTGCGCTCGCAGAAGCCCCTCGGATGCTTCTAGGCCTCAGGGGGGCACGATGTGCCTTGTACCCCGTGGACCCCACTCTGGGGCTCTCGGGGCTCCGCCGGGCAGGGCTGCAGTAGAGGCCTGTAGATCTAGTCCAGCTGCCCAAGCTTAGGGGCGAGGTCGGTGACAGGCCAGAGAAACTGAGTCAGGACCAGAACGCACACCTGTCGACTCCCGGTTCCGTGCTCTTTCTCACCAGACCCTGCCTCTCTCGGCATCCTCACGCTCTGGAAGGGTTTGATGGGGGGCGACGGGGGGTGTTTATGCTAATAAGCCGAGTGGGTGTGAGGGCACTGGCCGGCTGATCATGGAGGGAAGTCTCATCGAGTTCTGGGTTGGACTCAAGAGTCGTTTCGTGGGTAACTGTAAGTTGGGGGGCGGAGCTGCTCTAAAGAGAGGTCTGGGCTCCAGCTTCTGCTTTGACCCTTTACCTGCATATGAACAGGTCCTAACCTTTTCGAGCCTAAATTCAACTGTAATGGAGGGACAGTAATAATGCCAGCAGCTGCCCAAGGGAGGAATGGCTGTCAGTGCTTAGCACGGACTTGTTCTCACTGTCGCCGTCGGCACCCTCTAGGCCGGGGCAGCAGACATTCACTGCGCCAGCTCTGGGCTGAGCTTGGACATGCGCATTACACCTCAGGCTCCTGGGCTCACCTGTATCTGGGTTTTATCGTACAGGGACCCTCCTGTCCTGGTCCTAAGAGGCCCCCCCTCCAGCTCCAGCTTCCCGTCCACACCCTGGGCCGAGCCAAGACTGGGCCCCCACCTCCCAGCCAGGTGTTTGTCCCTGGGGAAGGGGCTGTGCCCTGGAAAGAGACCCAAGCCTGTGCTTTCTCTGCTTCCTGGTGTGTTTTTTGTGGTTTTTTTTTTCAGGCAGGGAGCCTGGCTGGAGGGGGAGGGAGGAGAAGCCCTAGAGGGAGGGGAGCCCAGTGCGGCAGAGCAGGAACTGGAAGGGGAAGGGTGTGGGTGGGCCCAGATCCCGCCTGCCTCCCCTGTCCTCCTGCCAATCCCCTCCCCGGCTCCCGGCTGGCTCTGGAGCAGGGGCTTGGCCCACGTCGCCTTCTGGTGGGTGGGGAGCAGGCAAACCCCATCTGAGCGAGCGAGGAGGCTTGAAGCCTGCGGCACCTCCACCCCCGGCCCAGGCCTGCGGCTTTGTTACTTCACTGGCTTGAGGCCCACACCTGAGACAGGGAGGACGAAAATCCCCTAAAATTCAGCAGTGTGGGTTCGGAGGGCCCCCCTCAAGGCCGCCGGCTTCTGAAAGGCAGATGGGGGGCCCAGAGAGAGGGGTCTCCCAGCCCCCCTCTGCGTGGCCGGGGGCTGTGGGCAGCTCCTCTCCCCACCCCGGGTCCTGGCCCCAAGCACCGCAGGCCTAGGCCTCCGGCCCGCAGCCCGCATCAGCCTCCCGAAAGGTGACATTCATCTCGCTACATCCTGTGACTGCCGCTCACTTCCTCCACGTGGGGTGGGAGCGGTGTGGGGGTGGCTGCTGGGAGGACCGATGAAGAGAAGGAAAATGTAGCTGGGCTGGGGACCTCTGGGATTTCCCAGGGGGCGGCTGGCTGGGGCTGGAGGGGTGTGGGAAGCGTTCAAGGGAAAGAACAGTCGTGAATGAAGAGTAGGGAGGAGGCGGGAGGCAGCTGGAAGTCCCAGAAGCGACTCCCCCTGTGCTGCCGCGGCGGCGTGGACACCCGGGGGCTGGTGCCGCCTCCAAGGCAGGAGGGGCCCGACCAACCGACCTACCGACGGGAGCCAGGCAGCGCCGGGCCTGTGCCTCCGTTTCCCCTTCTCTGCCGGGCTCGGCTGCGGGAGCTGCTGGTGAGCCGGGGAGGGGAGTGAGGTCGGGAGGACCAGTCCTCGCAGGCCAGCATCTGGGCCTGGGGCCCAGCCTTGAGGAGGGAGGGGGTGGGACCAGCGGGGCCCGGGTTGGGGCGCCCTGCCCCACTGACCCCTCTTCTCTTCCCCAACAGGTGGAGCCATCGCAACTCCCAAACCCACCGGCAGCCTGAGGCAGAGACTCCACCGACTGTTCCCCTCGGAGCCCGCCCGGATCTATGTCTGAGTTTTAACCCTCGCTTTCAAAAGACTACACACACGATCACCTCTTCCCCGCAGCCGAGCCGCCCCCCAGCCCCGCGCAGTCCCAGCCTGCCTCCCGCCGCCCCGCTGCCCGCCATGCCCGCCAGCGGCCCCGGGGACACCAGCAGCTCCGCCCTGGAGCGGGAGGAGGACCGCAAGGTGAGCAGCTGGCTCCGCCCGGGAGCCTTCCAGCCCAGGTCGGGGAGGGCCTGCCTCTGAGGCACCAGGGCTCCGACGTGCTGGGCGCTGGACCGCGCCACGCAGCCTCCTCGCGGGGCCTGGCTGAGGACTGGTAGCCTGCAGAGGCCGGGTCCTGGGGGTAGAGTGGGGCTTGGAGCTGGGTAGTCAGGATCCAGGACCAGCCCACCCCCTCTGCCCCCGGCCCGTGGCATGTGAGCGGAGGTTCAAATCCCAGGTCTGTGTCTTTGTTGGGTTTGCCTGGCAGAGGCCTCAGATCCGGATTCCTTTTGGGGTTGGCCTTTTACCAGCTATGTCCTCAGGTGGGTCACTCTACCTGTTTCCCCAGGGTGTCCCCTAGCTTCCCGAAGGCCAAAGCCAAGGTCAGGGCCTTGGGAGATGTGACACCGTGTGAGGGCTCTCTCTCTGGCACAGGCAGTCAGGCACAGGGCGGCGGGGTGCACATGCTGGAGTGACACTGGTTGCCATGGAAATGGTGATTTCCTGTCCCCCTCCCTGGCCCCAGGCTCTGAGCAAGTGGCACCTCTGCCCATGGAGCTGGTGACTTCCTTGTTTCCAGAGCTTCACCCTCCTGCCAAACTCGAGGATGGGCCTCAATCAGGTCAAGGGGCTCCCAGAAAACTGGTGGGAGGCCCTGCTGGGTCCCGACAGGCTGCCTGGGACCTCACCAAGCTGTGTCACCCACAGGCAACACCCCTCCTCTCTACCCCCCCCCCCGGCGGCATCAGTGGAATAGTAAACCCCGCCACCACCCTTCTGGGAAAGCTGTCTCAGCCACGGGCCCTCCTGGGGTGCCCTATCTGTCATGCCGTGGTCCCCACAGTTCCCTCTGCCTGCCCCTCTTTCCCTGCGCAGGGGTTCGGGATGGTGGTTCTTGGTGGTCTCCGGGATATTCGTGGAGCACAGGTGTCTTTCTGGAATTAGTGTGGACACCTGGCGCTGGTGGGCCCTGAGCACTCAGCAGTGGCCGCTCTGCCGGCCCTGTCGGGGCAGCTCTGCTCCCTGCCCCCTGCTCCCTGCCCCCCTCCTTCCTGGGCTCGCTCGTTTTATTGGGTGTTTCTGTTTTCTGGGTGGTTTCCATCTATTTGGTCCTTTAGGGACAACCTTGAACAAGTGGGGCAAGGACAGATGGCCCTAGTTTACAGATGAGGAAGCTGAGCCCAGCTCAGTGGTGGGTCCAGATGGGAGCCTGCCCTCCCTCCTCCTGGATCAGAGCCTTTCCCACAGAACCCAGCCTGTGTGGGTCCTGGTGTGGTCACACACACAGGCACGTCCGCGCGTGTGTGTGTGTGTGTGTGCGCGCACACACACACACACACACACGCACGCACACACGTGCACACAAACACACACACACGTGCACACAAACACACACATGCACACACATGCACAGAACATGAAGCCCAGACACCTGCCCTCCCAGCCTGGAAGCCTGCTGCGTGCCATGGAGGAGCGCATCCCCAACAAGCTGGAGAGAAAGTGCCTGTGCGGCCCACCGGGCAAGGCTCCTCGGGGCTGCAGGTCATTGCCATCTGCTGTCTCCAGGGAAGACGGACAGGTAGTCCAGGTTACCCACGGGACTCAGGCAGCAGCAGGCCCAGACCTGCCACTGTAGGGTCGGGCCATCTGTGGCCACCTGTGCTCTTGAGTGGCAGCTGTGGCTGTGAGTAATTCCCTGTCCTCCCTGAGCCTGGCTCTCCTGGCCCTCTTCCCCTGGTCTGATGTCCTGACTGGTGCTGGCACAGCTTGTGTCCATGTACTTGCAGTGATGGTCAGCTGCCCCCCCAGGTGGGGAAGGTGGGGACAGCTGGGCCCAACTCCTCCCGGTACTGGACCAGGCTGCCCTGGGCAGCAGAGCCACTGGCCCTTCTGGGGAGAGCAGCAGGCGGGGCGCTCGGTGAAGAAAGTTCAGAACAGAGAGAGGTTTCACCGGGGGAGGCGTTAGCAGGCCCAGGTCCCGGCCCTGAGTCTGCCTTCCTGGAGATGTGACTTGAGGCCATCTGGGCTTGCGCTTGCTCAGCTGTGGAACGGGGATGGTAACTCTAGCTGTGCCTGTTCTTCAGGGTGTTGTGGAAGTCAGATGAGGTCACGGGCATGGAAGTGCCCTGCAGACAGCAAAGTCTGGTCCAATTATGAGGGATTAGGATTGCTATTATTATCTACCCAGAGTGACTGCTCTGGCTCCAGCGGCAGCAAACACATACCCAGCCCCAGATCCCGGTGCAGATAGAGCGAGCTGGTAGACTGGGATTGGAGCACGCCCACAGCACGCATGCCGGCTCGCCTGGCACACCTCCCTGGCACCTCCGGGCTGGCTCCTGAAGCTCCAGGAAGTTGCCCGGGTAGGGCGGGTAGAGACGCTGACAGCCGCCCCAGCAGCCTGTGAAAGCCAGGCCGTAGGCAGGGGTGCCTGGTTGCTGCAGAGGGGGAGGATGGGCATGGAGCCCGAGGAGCCTGGCAGAGTTGCCAGGGGTACCTGGCACAAAGCAACTGCTTGGGAGCCAGAGGGAAGGGGTGTGGCCACCCGCTGGCCCCTTCGCCGCCTGGCCCCACGTGCCCTTCCAGCTGCTCTCCAGGCCACACCCCCAGGCACCTTTCACTCCTGTACTTCCTGGAGCTGCCAGGCCTTTGTTTATGCCGTTTCCTCTGCCTGCAGTGCCCTTTTCCTAATTTCCTCTGATCAAAACCCTTGCTTTCATCGGCCTTGAATTATAGCTTGTTGTAAACCAGTGGTTCTCAGAACGTGGTTCTTATCCATGCGCCCATCGATGGACGCTTAGGTTGTTTTTTGGCTATTGTACATGATGCCGCAATGAACTAGGGGCATAGTGTTAAGTGAAATAAGTCAGAAAGGGGAAGACAAAACTATAGGACTTCACTCATGTGTGGAATCTTAAAAGAAAGTGAACAAACGAAATGAAACAAAAACAAACTCAGAGCACAGATTGGTGGTCCCCAGAGGATAAAAAGGTTGAGGGTTAGGCAAAAGGGAAAGTGGGGGAGGTCAATTATATGGTGATGCGTAGCAACTAGACATTTGGGGGTGATCGCTCTGTAATGTACACAGATGTTGTATTATAATGTACACTTGAAACGTATATAACATCCAGAGGCCCAATGCACGAAATTCATGCAAGAGTAGGTCTTCCTTCCCCTGGCTGCCGGCACCGGCTTCCCTTCCCTCTGGCACCCGGGACCCGGCTTTCCTCACAGCCCCGGCTTTGTCCGGAAAATCTTCTGGAAGGACATCCAGTCTAATTAGCATATTACACTTTTATTATTATAGATTTAAAAAATTTGATTCCTAAGCCAGCCGCACCAGCACCTGGAAAGGTTAGAAATGCAGAAGCCTGGGCCCCACCCCAGACCTGCTGACTCAGAAACTCCGGGGAGAGGCCCAGCCATCTCTGTGTTGTAACCGGCTCTGTAGGGGGTTCGAGACATACTGGTGTGGATAATAGCCATCCCCACTGCTGCCTGTGGAGGGCAGGGCCCCCGGGCCTAACTGGCACAGAATAGGTGCTCAGGAAATGCTTTGTGGGTAAGATAGAAAAGAAAATGAGAGTGGGCAAGGGCCCTTCCCAGGAGAACAATCCCAGAGCCCAGGGTCAGAAGGTGGGCTGCAGAGCGGTGGGCGATGGGCTGAGGTGGCCACCCCGTGGCTGGGCATGCACAGAGAGGTCTGTGTATGTGGTACCCCCCTGGCACCTGCTCAGCACCCCTTCTCCCTGCAGCTTCCCAGCCATATGGGGGGCTTCTTGGGGAAGCTGGGAGTATGCAAGCTTTGGGGGTCTGAGCTCCTAGGCTCTGGCCAAGGTGGGTCAGTTGAGTACATGTGGGCCACAGCAGAGGGAGGGGAGCTAGCAGTAGGGGAGATGGTGGAGGTGAGCATCAGGGAGGCCAGGAATCTTTGTCCTGGCTTAGAGAGGATTAGGGAGGGAGGGCACCTGTGTGGAGGGGAGAGAGAAGGGCAGAGGCAACAGGAAAGAGGACCAAGAGCATTCCAAGCCTTAGGGCTGGAAGGACCTCCTCAGATACCCATGTTATGAATCAGTGCCTGGCCAGGAATCCAAGGCCCTGGGCTGGGTCCCGGTCTTGCTGCTTCCCAATCTCTTTTGGCCAAGATGCATTCGGTGCTGATGATCTGCCAGGTGCTCTTTTAAGCTCTGTGCTTGCATTCTCTTGTTTCATTCTTATAATTGCTCTATAAATTAGGCACTATTATTTTTACCACTTAATCTGATCAGCGAGCCGAAACCGGTTTGGCTCAGTGGGTAGAGCTTCGGTCTGCGGACTGAAAGGTCCCAGCTTCGATTCCGGTCAAGGGCATGTACCTCGGTTGCGGGCAACATCCCCAGTAGGGGGTGTGCAGGAGGCAGCTGATCGATGATTCTCTCTCATAGATGTTTCTAACTCTCTGTCCCTCTCTCTTCCTCTCTGTAAAAAATCATTAAAATATATATTTTTAAAAATCTGATCAGCAAGAAGGAACCACGATTACCCTACAGAAATGACCCCCAACAAAGACCCTTGACATTTCAGGACTGGCAAAGCCCCAGCTTCCATGTTGGCATGTGGAGAAAGCCCTTTGGGGGGGGGGGAGCTGTGCCATGTGCCTCCCTGTTATTCCTCACCTTGGGCCACATGTGCTCTCGGCCACATTCAGCCCAGGAGAAAGGGGTGGAGTGCCCTGATGCCACCCGCCTGTGCAGCGCCTGCCCTGGTTGAGAGAATGTGGGGATTGCCAGGGAGGCTGCCATGTGCTGAGCCTGTGCCTCGGACCCCTGTAGGGCAGGGTGCTTCATGCCTGGTCCGGCATTCAGGCCTCGGGCACCCCAGGGCTGTGCTTAAGGAACCAAAGGTCCCAGAGAGCCTGGGCTAGGACTCGCACCCGGGTCTGAGTGACGCCAGGCCCTTCCCATCAGGCCCCGAGGCACAGCTTGGTGAAAAGCATGTTGTTCTCGGTCAACATACCATTCTTCCTCGATGCAGTCATGAGTCACAGGGCGAGGAGGGAAGAAAGCGGCCTCTGGGGCTCCGGGCCTGGCTGGGTTCACACGGCCGGTTCGGGGCTGACCCCCTGAGGAGGGTGAGCAGGTGGCTCGGGGCCGCGTCCCTCAAGGAGGCGAGGCGTAGCAAGGGGTTCATTCTCGCATCTGTCACGGGACCCGTTTCCCTCAATATCTTTGCTGAGCAAAGGAATTTAAAATATGCTTATCAAATCTGCAAGTAGCGCCGAATTAGGAAGCGTCGCTAATACTCTGAGAGGGGAGAATCTGATCCACAAGGGCCTCGGAGCAGCTGGAAACCAGTAAGGCCTTCAGCAGGCACAGATCTGAGAGCCCAGGCTGGTTTCCTCATCTGTCAAGTAAGGGAACTAATTAGTCAATCCTCCCACTGGGAAGTGGCAGGAGGGGCTGAGCGTCTACTTAGGTGGGCTCGGGGAGGGCAGAGGCGGGCTGGACTCCTGGCTCTGCTCTTGACCACAAACAACTTCAAGAATGTTTGTAACCGCTCCGGGCCTCGCTTTTCTCACCTACAAAATGGGGCTAAGAATAGCTGTCTCGCAGCCACGTTACAATCGAATGAGGTAATAGACATGGGAAGTTGACATGTGATACTCACTCACGAATCGCTAACCTCCTCCGCTCCCACAGCACATCCTCACCAGAATTATTCTCCAAAAGGGCCTCGCCCCCTCCTTTCCCCGTCCTCCCGCCCACCTGCCCCGTGCAGATCCCAGCTCAGGGCCCGCATACACAGCCATCACTCACGGCGACAGACACACCCAGCCTCTGGCTGGGACTGCTGCAGGGAGATACTCAGGGACCCTGGAGCTCCTCCATCTTTCCAAAGTGCAAAGCTGATTATGTCCCTCGCAGAGCTTAAGCCCCTGCCGAAGGGCTCCCAGGAGCCCCCAGGATCAAGCCAAGCTCCTTAGCCCGTGTGAGGGAAGGCCCCTCAGGATCTGTCCGGCAGCCTGGGCCCCCTCTCTCCACTGCCTTCCTCCCACCCGAGTGCAAACAGACCGCACCAGGTGTGAGGGCGGGCTGCTTCCCTCCCCAGCGCCTTGGCATGGACCCTTTCTTCTGTCCCAGCCACCTTCCGCTCGGGCTGGCCAGCAGACCTTTAATTTTCCAGCTTGCTTCCTGGATTCCCTTCTCCTGGGCCTCCTCCTCCCAACCCCCCCATGTAGAATGGACTCATAGATTCTTCTCTTTTAGCGCCCACCATCCAGCACTGCAACTGCCAGCTACTGTCCTAGCCAGGCCACCAGCTCCTTGAGGTAAGGGACTGTGTCTTATTCACCTTGGCATCCCCAGTGCCTAGGTCGATGCACCTGACATAGGGAAGGCACTCAGCAGTACTTGGGGTGTGACTGTCACATGGTAGGTGCTCAGTAAATGAGTCCATGCACACAGAGGCACACATGCCAACCCACCAACCTGCACAAGGACAGCCATGCTTGAGGCCCCTGTGCCACTCTGATCATTAGGACTCCAATGCACTCTCCAGGCTTACATATAAGCATGTCACTTTACATTTGCACATGTAACTCTTTTACGGCTTTCAAAGCACCTCCACGTTTGGTGGCTTGTTAGATTAGGTAGCTACCACTAGCCCCTCTCAACGTCTGAGGCTACGCCTTGACCTACATTTTAACTCCGCTCACTGGGTGGATTATTTTAAGTCACATACAACTTCTCATTCTGATAAGCTGGCCTGTGGCGATAATGATCTCTCAAATGTGTGGTCCATGGTAATTAGCGAAGCATTTTCACATACGTTATTTCATTTTTATTCTTTTACACTTTACAGAGAGCAGGGATGGTATTGTTCTTTTTCCATTAGGCAGGCAGGAAATCTGAAGCTCAGAGAGATTATCTAACCAGCGGAGAGCCAGGAAGTGAGGACTTTAGAATAAAAATTTAAATATTTTGATTTCCAGCCTATGGGTCTCTCCACTACATACCCTACTGTGCAGGGTGCTGCTGACACATGTGTGAGCGAGTGTGCACACACACACGCACACACACACAGTGAAATTATAAGCATGCAGGCAAACCACGGTAAAGGTACACCCCACGTGCACACGTCCACACACAGCTGTCCCAGGAGCCTCACCCCCAGACACGGTGCCCATCTCGCCAAGAGAGATGCATCCCACGAAGCCCTCCCCCAGAGCCAGCCAGCCAGACGTACGTGCTCCTTCAGAACGTACACCGGATGCTACCGACCCAACATCCGCTGAGCAGATGTCTCAAGTTGGGGATTGAGTAGAGGGGATGAACTTGACGGATCTAGCCAGACACTTGCCGGGCCCCCTGGGACAAGAAGCATGCACAGCCTTGGCCAGCTGGCTGGCCGGCCTCCCAGGGCCTGCCTGTCATTGTGAAACTCAGTGAAACCGATTGGCGTCACCAGCCAGGACCGCCCGAGGACCAGGTCTGCAGAGCCACAGCCACAGGGCCCCGCACAGCACACGCACACACACTCTCACACACACACGCATACACACTCTCACGCACACATGCTCACATGCACGGCCTGCCCAGGCGGGGCCTGCAGAGAGGTGAGCAGCAGGTGTGCTGCTAGACGAGGGGTAGGGAGGGCAGAGGCTGATGGTGTGAACGGCCACATTGCACCCGGTGGCACTGGAATCACGGCAAATGCTCATGCTTCCTTCCACACGGCCCCCCAGAGCCCCGGCTCTCTGATCTCAGTCACTCTTCCATTGGCCACCTAGTGGACCTCATCGTAATAGCTGAGGGGGGTCAAGGTGAACCAAGGCATCGACCCTGGGATGCTCCTGGGAGGTGACAGGCATATGCGATGCTAGCACCGCATGGCGGACACTTCAGGATATATTTTATATGTACACCCCCTGCCCACCATTCCTCATTCCAAGTGTCGCACGCCCTGCCAATGTTCATTACTCAATTTAATACTTCTTTCCTTGTGATGTGATTCTTTTCAATAAGGATGATTCGTTAAATAGACATCTAACTTCATTCTGTGCTTGTGTAAGACTTTCTTCCATATAAATAAACTCACGTCCAAAAGACACCATCTTGGTCGGTGCGTGCGGTGATTCTGCAGCTCAGAAATGTGGCCGCCAGGAGGGAGGGCTGGGTGTTCGCGTGGGGTGTATCTGGGTCTGCCCCTGAGTCCCCCGAGGCGCTCGCCCAGGGTGGCTCAAGCTTTTCCAGGCCGAAGGGGGTAAATGAAGTGCTATCCCTGCCATGGGGGGACCACATGGCGCTGGCCGGGAGTGTAGCTGTGGCGGGGGTGGGGCGGGGAGGAGGCCTGTGGGATCCAGCCGTGGCCTCACTGGCTGTGTCTGTGCCCGCAGGAGGGAGAGGAGCAGGAGGAGGCGCGCGGCAAGGAGGAGCGGCAGGAGCCCAGCACCACGGCCCGGAAGGTGGGGCGGCCCGGGAGGAAGCGCAAGCACCCGCTGGTGAGTGTCGTGGCAACCCCACAGCACACACGCACACACAGCCCGTGATGGGAGCCTTGCGGGCCCCTGGGTACGTGAAGGCGCTGCGATGTGGTCGCTTCCCCGTTCTTTGAGCCCCTCAACCACTCCCAGGATTTCCTTTTTCTACACGGAACTGTGGGTTCGGGCATAGCAGGGACTCGAACAGGGCCCCTGACTCCTGCCTTCCTTCTGAAAGGGCAGCAAGAATCCTGACAGCGCAGCATTTGCTTCTGCCTAACCTGCCTGCACAGGCCCTGCCCTGCCCATCCACACACCCACCCAGAGGACCTGAGGAAGGGAACTGAGATAGGGGGTCTGATCAGAATGAGTAGGGAAGACATGCCGGCTAAGAAGGCCCTTTGTAAGGGAGGGGGAGAACTGGGTCCTGGTTGAGTCCCATGGAAGTGTAGGCCACAGGCTGCCCGCAAGCCCCCCTCCCCCGCTCCCGCCAGGCAGCTAGGTGCTGCTGCCCCTGAGTCTAGGAGGGCTCGGGTTGCCCAGAGGAGGAGTGCTCTGGAGGGCAAGGCCTGTGGGCATAGCCTGCCTCCCTGTGCCTTAAACTGAGACAGAGCAGTGATATCCGCCAGCACCGAAGACAGCTGGTTCCTTTCTTTTAGCCCCTTCCAGCTGAGAATGGGAAACTTGAGGCAGGAAGGTAAGGAGAGGAGCCAGAGCTTGGATTTGTAACTGCCCTTCAAGGAAATGCTCTCAGCAGGGCAGATCCCCCCCTTGGGCAGTGCCAGGGTGAAGGGCTGGAGTGAAAGGAGACAGCTGAGGGAGGGAGGGCCGCAACAGCTGGGCCTGGATGGTTCCCTGAGCCCGGGGGTTTGGGAACCTGCCGGGTACTGGAGGCACCATTCCCAATTCTGCTTGAAGATTTGGAGGGGAAGGGGCTGGGAGCGGGCATTTATCTGTTAAATGTTAGGCATTTTAATCTTAATGCAAACATGAGTCTTTTATGGCCTGGAATGAAAAATTCACATGAAGTTGAAAGTCAAAGCAGCGGACTTTAAAGAATGTCCACCTCGAAGCAGACTCCAGGCTGGATCCTGGGGTGCCTTCTCAGCGTGCCCCTCCGTTCACCTCCACCCCTAGGGCACCTTGTGGGAGAAGGAGGGGGGGCACAGTACCAACTGGAGTGGGTGGGGAGGCAGGCTGAGTTAGAGACCACTGGTGATTGCACACCTGCACGTGGGCCCATGACCCACGGTCCCCGAACTGAGTGCTGGGGAAAAGAGCCCCCACCAATAGCAAATAAAGACTTTGCAACCCTCCTGTGAGCCCCTGGAACCAGCGAGAGGGTCCATCACTGAGAGGTGGGGTGCAGCCCCGGGGGCAGGAGGGAGGCGTGTGGAAACGTGTCCAGAGATGTGCGTAGGAGAGGCGAGAGGGGCACGGCTGAGTGGGGGAAGGGGCAGTGCACGTCATAGGTTCCCAGCCTGGAGCAGGGCCCAGTGTGGAAGGAACAGCTCTGTGTTTGGAGTCCAGCAGACCTGGTTTAAATCCGGCTCCCCCACTCACCACCTGTGCAACCAGGAACCTTGGGCCCCCCTTCCAAAAAAAGAGAGACAATCTGCATGCATCCCTCCCAGACCCAGTGAGAACTCAATGGGTTCCGCCACCAAAGAGCTAGTGCTCAGCAGAGGTCAGTGCTGTCCTTGCTGGCCAAACCTCTCCTCTTCAGGAGGCCACAGCGACCTCCATTTGGCAGAAGAAACAGCTCTGGGTTGATGGTATCCCAGCTGTGTGGTCCTGAGCACGTTACGGACACAGCCCTGAGCTTCTGCGTACTGGTACCATGTGACCAGCAGTCACACCTGCCCTGGCCACTCAGCAAAGTGAGTCCAAACGCGCAGGCCGTGTTCCAGGTGACACCTCACGATAGGCCCCAGGAGAGAGGAGAGAGAAAATGGGGGAGGCAAGGCTGGTTGGAAGGCCTGGGGCCGAGGCAGCTGCTGTGAAAGGACCCCTTGCACATTGGGGAAGCGGAGAAAGACGGACCCCAAAGAGAGCAGCCAGCACAGCCCTTCCTGGGCATCAGGCCCCGGGGCGGGGGTAGGGGACTGGGTAGCAGAGGAGGAAATTCATGCTACAGCGAGAGGCCAGTCCACCCATGGTCACCCGGCCGAGAGGCCATCTGGGTCACTTGTGCTTGAGCAAGTGCTTGACCTGGCCTCCTCCCTCCCCAGCTGGGGAGCACAGCAGGGAAGGTTTCTTGGGGACCTGGTGCAGCTGTGGCCCTGAGAACCACTGGCCGGGAGCTTTAAGCAGCTGAGTGTGTGTCAGCCAGCTAAGCTGGAAGGGGGAGGGAGCTGGGCTCAGGTCCCAACAGGTGGAACAGAAGGAGACGTGCTGGAAAGCAGGAGAGGAAAACCTGGCTTCAGGCTGGGCTCTTTGTGCAGAGGTCGCCTGAGCTACATCTGTGAGTGTCCTCGATATCCCTCCGGGCCCAGAGGTTAGGAAATCTCTGCCCCCGAGGCCTATCTGTGCTGGGTGCCTTCCACTCATTCCTGCGCCTGCACCTGCCTCCTGGCTGCACCCTCACCCAGGCCTGACCCCAGGACGGTTTCCCAACCCCCAGCCCTTCCTCCCCCAGGACAAATACTTCATTCCTGCTAAGCAGCTCCCAGCGTGGGGGAGGCCACACAGATCAACAAGACTTAGCTTTCAACCTAGGAAGCTAGGAAGGAGACCATACGTAATTCCACCTACTACAGCCTGTGGCACATCTCCGCTCAAGAATCTCCAGGATTCTTAGGGGACAAGATCTGAATGCTCCACCTGGCTCCCTGCCACAGGGTCTCTCCGGCCCCTGTCCTGGTGCTCAGTAGCCACCTCTTGCCACAGACACAATAGAAACCCTCTCTTCCTGCTGCTCCTTGAACACATCAAGCACGTTTCACAGCCTCCTCTTTCCTCTGCCTGCCCCAGAGCCCAGCCCATCAAAGCCTGGCTTGCAAAGGTAGCCCAGCTCCGCCATCATGCACCACACTGACTCTCCCTGTTGGACTGTTGGTAAAATTTACCAAAATGAACACCAAGAAAGTAAAGGCATGTGCTGACCCCGGTCTGCAAAACCGTCCCCTGTCTGGATCCAATGTGAGAATAAGTGTTTAGAAACGTTTATATCCGTTTGATCCTATGGCCACCTCCAAGTGCATAATTTTGTATTTCACAAAAGTTACATTTCTTTTTTAATATATTTTATTGATTTTTTACAGAGAGGAAGGGAGAGAGATACAGAGTAGAGTGTTAGAAACATCGATGAGAGAGAGTCATCGATCAGCCTGCACGTCCCCCACCAGGGATGTGCCTGCAACCAAGGTACATGCCCTTGGCCGGAATTGAACCCGGGACCTTTCAGTCCACAGGCCGACACTCTATCCACTGAGCCAAACCGCTTTAGGCAAAAGTTACATTTCTTGATGTATGGGGAATGAAAACAACAAAAGCAAAGGCAACCACCTAGCCTCTCAGGGCGTCCCCCTCTCCCCCGACAGCTGGAAAAGCAGGTGGGAAGAGCCTGGCTTCCCACGAGATGTGCCATCAGCATGGTGGTCCCTGAGCTGAGCCTTGAGCACTGTGTGCCCACCTCCCTGAGGACAGAGAGCGTGAATAAATGCCCAGAGCTGTGCCACACGCGATGCCTACAAAGGCCTTTCCAACAGTGACGCCTGTGACCCTGACAGCAGACCCGGGAGGGGTAGGTGGGGACCGCTGTTACTACCTTCCTCGCTCTCAGACGAGGAGGCTGAGGTTCACACCTCCGAACTGCAAAGCCCACCGTGCTTGTCCCTCCTCACCCCCTCTGGTCACGCGATCCCGAAAACAGGGCCTCCAGCATTTTCGTTGTTAATATGTGAAGGCAGGGCTGTTTGAAAACGTGTGTAGATCTGGTCCAAGAAGCATACAGAGGAAATGTAACTGAGGGGGGTGACTGACCCACACATCAGGGAGCCCGTGAGGTCACGGGTAAGGCGGTGGTGGTCTGAGGCGTGAGAGGTGGGCCCGCTAAGACCGGGCATGACGTCGGCTGCACCACTGGCCTCAGAGCCAAGATGCTCTTGATCAGAGCCGGCAACAGGAAACAGGAAGCCGCTGCCGGGCGGGGCGGGGCTTAGGAAGGGAGCTGGCACCTGGACGCGGGGCCTGCGGGCTGGCGGGGCCTGTGATAGGGAGGAGGGGGCGGTGGCATGCCGGGCTGGTCTCTGCCGGCCGAGGCCGAGAGCGTGAGCCCGCGTGTGGGTGTGAGCGGAAGAGGCATCTTCCTGTTCGCCAGCTCCCAGGGACGTCACGGAGTCAGCAGTGTAGATGTCCGAAGCAGGTTCCTGCCTGGTCACAAGCCCAGACAAGCCCCGCGCCGCCTTTGTCCCTGGCGCTGCTCACGGCCGGGGTACCGGGAGGGAGGGTGCCCGCCCTGGCCGCCAGACCCATGGGGATGACCGGCCCTCGGGGCTCCAGGGCCTCTTCACCAGCTCTGTGTATTTATTCACTGAAGATTTATACCCACCAACTCCCTCCAGGGTTAATTTTGCTCAGTGGGAGCACCCTGAGGTCACCTCTTGCTAAGAATAACCCAGAAAGGGAGGGCGGGGGCGGGGAGGAGGGGCAGGAGGGGCTGGGAGCAGGCGCCGAGCTCAGCCAGGCCGGCCCAGAGCCAGCGGTTACTCACTCCCCCTCCGAGCCTCCAACGTGACGCCCGAGTGAGTGATTTCAAGTGAGTTCCAGGGGGCAAGGCTGCCCCACTTTAGAGCCAGGGACCGGGGTACGGACGGACGGTGGGAAGGCAGGGACCCTCCTCTGGAAGGGGAGAACCGCCGGGGACCGGGTAGCTCAGCGGCGGGGAGTCTGCATGGACGGCTCATCTTCTGGCCTGACATGACCTTTCGATTCGTCTCCGAGTTAAGACGGAGACGATCCCCTCTGTGTCCGGGTGAGAGCAGCTCCTCGCTCACCCCGGAGCCCTGGCCCGGTGACAT